CCTTATCAAGTCAATGTTACTTAAGATGTCTGATACGCTTAAATGCACACTAATCTGTGTAGCCCCAATCTATCCTCCCAGCAGAGGCCTGTGCAGGGCAGGCTCCACCACAGGCCCTGACAGATTGTGGTGCAAGCTGTGGCATATTGCACATGAACCAAACATGCATTTAGAAAAAGCTGTTAAATCGTGTAGTTGTTGCTCTAAAAAAGCATGTAACTGTACTGAAGCATGCAGCAAATAACTGACAAAACTATCACACTGTGTGTGCTTGGTGTGGTGAATTTGAGTACAAGGGATTGTTGGAATGGGCTGATGGGGTGGTGTGGTGCAGAAATGCAAAAACCACAGGAGGAAGGCTGGAGTGATTCTTAAAAATTAAATAGAAAAGACGCTGCAGTGTCAGAAAACATGATCCAGGCTGTGCACAGACAAGAGTAGGTTAAAATATAGCGCTGGACCGCACATGGTCAATGTGCAAAACTGGTGAAAACTTGTGGAACCGCTGTAAACAACTGACATCATCACGTCCTAATCTCCTCTCTCTGCTCACATATACAGCAATTTAATACAGATGGATTCACAATAAACATTTTCTCATTTACAACAGAACAAGTTTGAGAGAGTGACTGAAATGTTGCTCATTAAGGCTACATGTCAACTTCCAAGTTACGCTAAAATCCTGATTTTATAACCATGACATCACCAACCACATAAATCAAAAGGCAAAGACAGTGCCAACAGTTTTTCCACCATTGTATTTCCTCAAAAAGTGACCGGAGACTTTATTTAATTCAACTCCAGAACGTAACAGACTTTATTGGAGGCAGGTCTTTATGTCTAACTCCCTCTGTTTGATATGTAGAGTTGGTCATAACGGTATTTTAGTCAGAAGCCTCGTTTTAGGTCGCTCCCGTCTGTCATTTCAAACTTAAAGCTCTCTATCTTTATGTCTTAACAGGGTTTTTATTGCTGTGCTGCAGTAAGTGTATCATCTAGGTATCCAAGATGGCGCCATGGACAGCAGCCTCGGTGCTTTGCTCTCCCACTCAAGACCGTGGAGATGACAGTGGACTTCAGGAGGAGCCCCCCATCACCATACACAACAACACTGTGTCCAACACAGCGCCTGCGCCAGCTCAGGAAGTCCAACCTGCCTCATGAGCTGCTGATCCACTTCTACACTGCAATAATCCAGTCTGCTCTCTGCACTTCTATCACCGTCTGGTTTGGTTCACGACCAAACAGGACAGGAACAGTCTACAAAGGACAATCAAGACTGCAGAGAGGATCATTGGCGCTAAACTGCCCTCCATCCTGGACTTATACACCTCCAGAATGAGGAAACGGGCAGGAAACATCACCACAGATCCATCTCACCCTGGGCACAACCTGTTCCAACTTCTCCCGTCCGGGCAGCGCAACAGAACACTGTACGCCCGCACAACCAGACATAAGAACAGTTTCTTTCTGCAAGCCATCACCCTGGCGAACACTTAAATCAATCATACAGGAACAACAACCTCTGACATCAAACATTGCACACTGAAATATAGCACATAATGTACATATACACTTATTCCCTGCCTGCATATTTATCTAGTATTTATTATTATTATTTATTATAGCCTTTGCACTACTTCCATTGCTCCTGTGCACTTCCTGACCCATCCAACACTCTTGTCTTGTTTTTAACTGTATATATATTTATATATGTATATTTATATGTATGTACCAAGCAGCAATGTAAAACCAGAGACAAATTCCTTGTATGTGTCCACATACTTGGCCAATAAAGCAGATTCTGATTCTCATTTCATTTCCAGTTGCTGGTGTTTCTGTTGTTTACATGCTATTCAGATCTGCTAGTTTGACTTCTCTCTCTCCTGCTCTCTCTGCTCGGTGTGTCTTATGTTTAGTTATTCCTCTGCCTCCTTTAGTAATGATGATACATGTAATGAAAATACTTTATTTGCCAAAATGGAGGCGAGGCTCAGTGTATTAGAAGCCCACGGTCTGCACCCATACACGGTCCATACAAAAGAAGTCTCTAAGTCTTGCAACAAATGTGCAACTGCAGGATGTAAAAACCCGTAACAGAAACTATTTGCGCCAAATCATTTTGAAAGAGCAGCAGCCAATGGGGAAAGTGTATCTGAAAATGGGCCTAATGCAAATGTCTGGACAAGGTAGTACTGGGAGACAGCAGTTTCTGATATGATGTCACGCAGATTTCAATCTTTGTTGACATAATGACATTTTGTAAACAACCACACAGAAAGACAAACCGTGGATGCTCACACTGTGGCTAGATTCACTCAGAGAGAAATGTCGACAGGTGATACCGGAAGAGCATAACTCTGTTTTCAGGGGGAAATTCAGCAGTATTAAGAAAAGCTTACAGATGAGGCAAGCCACACCCATGTGGGTTCAAATTGTGGGTAACTGGAATCTCTGGCATGTTCAGGCAGTGTCAACAGAACATGAGCCAAATCTGAACTTGTCAGGTGATGTTGTAACGAAGTTTGTCTGCGCAGGGTCTGAGCTACGAGATCTAAACAGACAAACAAGCAAATTCAGTTTTGTAAATATAATTTTATTTAATTTTTAAATGAATAAATAACTATTCATAAAAATATGGCTATTGTGCAGTTACTATTCATGATGTATACTGTGATAGGGCTACATAAGCAGTTGATCCTGCACATGAACCCGTAGTTGTTCTGTACATTTGTTTACACAATGTGAGTACAAATGAGAAACTGTTCCCGACCAGGTCCAACGGTGCAATATCACATCACTTCCCTAAAAACTTACTAACATGTATAAACATTGAAAACCTTTTAATTTCTGCATCAGTTGCTCCAACATCAACCAGCCATACCTTGGCAACATTTTATTAACTGATAAAAAGCTGTTTTCATCACCTTCTTTATATGTGAGGTAAAATTTAACTCAGAGTCTAAAATACTGCCCAGGCATGTTACTTCTACAACCACCTCTCCAGGATGTAGGCGGACATGTTTCCTTGTCAATGATCAAGAGAAGATTTCATGTCCAGAACCTCAGAGGATTCACCACAACATACAAACTCCTGGTAAACCTTCAAACTACAAAGGGCAGGAAGCAGTCGGTAAAAGCAAACAGAACAAAACCAGTAGAGTTCTGGATAAAAGTTCTATGGACTGATGAAAAGGCAGAACTTCTATCAAAATGATGGACAGAGGAAAGTGTGAAGAAAAAAAAAGAACACCTGATCTCATCTATCAAACATGGTACTGGGTCTGTTACGGTCTGGCATGTACGGCTGCCAGGGGAATTCAGACACTGGCATTTACTGATGATTTCACTCGTCGCTCCTGTCTGAGTTGATCCCCTGATCTCAATCTGGTTGAGCTGTATTCCACTTGCTGAAGTCCAGATTAGAATGCAGAGAGACCCCACAGCAAGCAGGAGCTAACAGCAGCTGCAGCAAAGACCTGGGAGAGCATCACCAAGGAAGATACAGAACATCTGGTGGCGTCTTCAGGCACCGTCACTGACTGCAAACGATTCTCTACAAAATATTAAATATGATGATTTTGAACCCCTAAACTTTGGTACAACTTGTGATCAGACAGTGGTGTTCCAGAGAGGAGGCAGCACGCAGAGAGCGCAGAAACCTGCAGCAGCTGATATGACGTCCTGCTGGCGACAACGGTCGTTTTAACCGGCGGAAGTGATGCTCTGCACAGGCTGAAAATGAGAAGCTGTGATCTGAATGTTTTCTGCACTGCTTCACTGATGATTATTAGAATCAGAGTTTAATGAATCCGTGTATTTTTCCAACCTCGGTGTGTGAACTCAGAGTCACTCACCACTTCACCCAAATCATGTTTCACAACACACATTAATCTTCACTGTGGAGCGCGGTTGTCTTAAGGGAGAGGAGCTCCAACACAAGCAGCCTGAGGCGAACAAAACACAGCAGAGTACAGTAATGAAAGGATTGGATTTTGAATTATTTTATCCAATACTGATGCATTAAAGTATCAGCCCCCATAAAGACTGCACAGTACTGCTGCTGTAAAGCTCAGAAAGTGATTCTCAATGACACTTCAGCAGTTGGATGGTATCTGCAACCACTCAGCACAGTCTGCCACCCTGCAATGGCCAAAGCTGAAAGATGGGTTATGTGCATTCTGCTTATTTGAAACAGCTGGCTGGATGCACGGTCCACAGAGAGAGGTTATGAGAAGACATAAACAGTTCACCCAACAACACCATCCACCTGAATCAACCACAACAGCTTCTTGGCCTCCCCCCTCTTTGTTTTATCCTCCAGCAAAGTCCCCCACACTACCCCACAGCCTGGGAATAAATAGTCCTGGTTCCAATTTCACAATATAATCAAAACACTGGGCTTTGTGGGAGCGCCAAGAAGATAGGAGCCTGGCAGAGCAGTGGGACAGGGAGGAGGAGGACTTGGACAGAGAGGAGAATCAAGGAAGGGGGATCAGGCGTTAGTTTATGTAACCAAGTTCAGCTGGAGGAAAAAACACAATAATCCGTGGCCATGGCAAAAACAGTAAGAGCACAAGGGAGGAGGACTGACCGAGGGAAGGGAAATATGAAAACAAACAGATAAAAGTCACAGTGGGGAGGCCTCAGTTTGCACGGCCTGAGCTTCTGGTTTGGCGTGGGGAGGAGTAATTGGGAGCTGCCGCTGGCACTTTAAATAGCTACTGAGTGTGATGGGATGTGGTTTGCGGGGAAGTGGACTTGACACAGTAAGAGGAGGAAACTCAAATCCCATGAGCTATTGTGTAATTCAGATGAACTGAAGTAAATAATTAAAGTTTGAATGATTGCCCCGAGACACATCTGGTTAATCCGGTGTACAAAATCAGCAAAAAAAACACATTCAGAATGATTATATGAGAACAAAAATGAGTTAGGACTGCCATATATAATGTTTCCTGGAAGCATTAGTATGAAAAGAGAGAAATGTAGTTTCCTACCTGTGAAAGTCTACTGCTCTTTTCCTGCCATTTCCAATGTTTCCATGGTTCCCATGAGGATTTGTCCGAACCTGGAGGAAGACAAGCAGTTCAGTCCACTGAGCTTACTTTTACAGCTTTCTCTGCTAAAAGCCAAAAGCATTACATAAAGTACAACACAAATGGCCTTTGAGGAACCATAATGTGGAAACAGATGATGATAGCAGGAGCCAGTGGCTGAAAAATTATCCCCGACAAAGTGAACTTAAGCCATTTGCAATGCCTGTCATGTTTTCTTAATATCTGCTACGCAAGTGAGGGCCTCCATTCTTCATACAAGGTGAGTATTGTTCACTACAACAACAAAGACCTTTCTGAACACTGAGAGGGAAGAGCCACCATAAAAGTCACCTTTTAAAAGCCAGACAGACGAACAGCTGCCACAGACCAGAGAGTCTGGCACAACTTTACACACATCCTCACTGTGACATTGACAACACACACTCAAAGCTGAGGCCAGCAGACGGTTAGGAAATCATCAAAATTTAAAAACTTATGAAAAACTGTGAGGGAATCTCTGGAGTAAATGTGAAGTGTATTATATGGATAAATAAATATACAACCACACATTCAAACCAAATTGTTTGAAATTAGTGTAAAATCGATGTTACCTCCCACCCTCTCTCCTGCTGATGATGCAGGCTGCCCCAATCACTCCCTACTTTCATGTGTCAGACTCTGCCATCTCCACTGACCTCAAATCTTTACATCACGTTTACAGTCTACCAAACTCAACATGATATCAAAAAACATGCACACAATTCATTTAAGATGGTGATGTGAGTGTTTGGAATAAATTTGATGTTTTACCTTTTATTTTTGTTACAACCGACTGCTGTCAGAAATTTGCCTTATTGTGCTCACAGTTAACAGGTCACACCAAACTAAACACCAAAAACAAAACCATACACATAAGAACAGAGATGTAAAAAATAAACTAAAACTAGAATCACCTCCTCGTGGTCCTCTGCCTCCTCCACTCAGACTAGTTTTGGGTTACATCCCTGTTTATCAGTCAGATAAAATATGAAACATTTCTATGAAGTTTTGTCATAATTGCTGTGTGAAGTCTTGGGTTATGGCTAAAACATATTTTGTGAGGTCACACTCGTCACACTGACCTTTGACCACCAAAAATTATAATAGTTCATCCACCTTGAGTCCCTCTAAGTTGTAGCCCAAATTGAAGAAGTTCTGATCATCTTATCTCCTTGAGAAGTAATTTCCCCCTCCTCTTACGCCCCCAACCTCGGGGGTTTCCTCCAGGCGGGGCGGACAAATGGTGTTCACCTTCATAGACAGGACAAACCCTGCGTATCACCACAATAACCTGCCGGCTCTGACTGTCACTTCACGTCATGGAACAAAACAATTAGCCTTGAGTTAAGCATGGGCTGCAAGTAATAATATGTAAACATATTAAAAAAATATATGCAAACCATAAATACAACCAACAACACACAACCAAAATTGTCCTTAATGTGCCAGAGATTTTACCGGTCAAGAGTCAAATAACCTCAGGAGTGTGTTTCTCTCAGGTTTAAAACAAGAGTCGTCTGGGCTGCTCCTCAGAGAGAGTGGAGATGCTGGAAAATTACTGAATTTCCTGAGCTTCCACAAAACATATCATCTAAGATAAGTCAACTTCCTTTTGGGAGGAATAACCACATCCAGAAGCAGCTTTGTATTCACAAAAACACAAGTGCAAATAGTACTTTTGGAAAATAGAGACACCCTGGAATTGAGGTCATATCAACACTCGTTAACTTAGTAAAAAAATTCATCCTCCTTGGGAAGTGACTTTTAAATTTAAGGAAAATCAAAAAGGGAGGGAAAGTTACACATTATACACACACACAACTTAAAACTGCACATTCAAACTAAAAATTTCAGTGCGATGAGAACTAAAATGTGAATATGTATCGATTCATTCAAACACAACACACATCTAACCACCTACGTTCTTAACTGCTGCCTTACTTGAGTGACAAGCTTTACAGCTGAGCCTGGTTCCAGACCTCTGAATCCGAGCCAACATCTCTGAATGGTTCAGCAATTTGAAGTGAAACAATATGGAAATTCAGTCTGATAAACAGATAGGCAACAGAATTGTTTTTTTTTTTGTTGTGGCATTGTTTACTGTGAGCTTTTTAGTTTTATCCTCATATTGTCCAGCTTTCAAATCCAAATGCTTGTACACATTACCTCTCTATACACTTTTGAATTCTGAATTGGATCAAGATCAATTCAGGTTGAATATTTAATTTTTCTTGTTCAAACAGTAGCTCAAATTACAGGTACAGAGAGTAGCGGCCATAACCATTTACTACATTAAAATACAATAAATGTTGAACACAATCACAAATCTACGCAAAGCACTGTGCTGTGTATCACCAGACTCAGACAGATGAAATGAATCCAGATCCTTCTCAGATTTTGCACCGATGAAATTCTCAGATAATTAATTCATGCTATTGCTCGTCATTCACACAAGTATCCTGAAGCTGTTAAGGCTGTGTGACCGCCTTCCACCCAGGAGTTTCAAATGACACTGTTCTAGAAATGCTGCCTTAACTTGGAAACCTGGTCAAACCTGGAGTTTTTCAAATCCCCCCTCAAGGTTTGTAAAAAGCAGAGCAGCCTTAAGCTCTACAGGCCTCTGCTCCTACCTCTGCCCTATGGCCAGGATACGCGTTGGGGCTTGTTTTGTGTGAACACTCCCTCAGTGAAAAGCTGGCTCAGAACAGGCACTAACTCACTCATATATTTAGGAGTCGAAGTCAGTGACACTGCTGGAACCATATTGTTTTGCTCTCTCTCTCGTTAAGATCAATTTTACATAAAGTGCTCATAATCAAAACTGGGCTAAAGCTATTGCTTGGTGCGTGCCTTCAGACGCTAGGCCCTAGCTTGTGCAGTCTTATATACTGCCTCTAGGGGCAAAGACAAAAAGTTTCTATCTGTAATTGGTTGAATGATTTATACAAAATTCAGTTGCATTATCTAACGTCTGTCCTCAGTCCATGCATAAAATTTCATAATGATTCATTAAAGTAGGTGTGGCCTATTACAAAATTGTCTAAATTCTACACATTTCACCTTCGAAAATTCTAAAAAAATGTACATAAATCATGTATACGTCCACAAAGTCTTTTCAGCACATCCACTGAAATTGTGACAATAGTTTGCTATTATACAGAAGTCTGGTCACTTTCAAATCAATTATCGATATCTCCACAAGTCTTATTCAATGCTCCCAAAATTACACAGACATTCTCCGATGGTAGATATCAAGTCTTTCAATTACTGTATGTCACCATTTTCTTTTCGTATCAGCAGATCTTTTCTGCCTGTGTACAGATTCTCTGGGCTTGTCAAAAGTACACCAAATATATTTTTTGAACTCCATCCGATTAGTCCCAAAATCTGCAGAGTAATGTAGGATTTTTTTTTTCCTCAAGCTACTCACACCAAAATTTTTGTTTTTGTGTTTAAGGTTACAAAGATGAAATACACTGTTTTTACACATGTTATGTCATTGCCTCAACTTGTGAGAAGGTGTACACAGCTCATGGTTTCCAATCAGTACAGTGTCATACCTTGGAAACAATGTAACTTATGGTATCCAAATTTTGGCTAGCCTGCTTGGACCCTGGCTAATTGCTGCTTGCCAGCTGTATTGTTCTTATTTAACTTTGACCAGACTGAGGGATGGCCTGGAGCTGAGCTGCATGCAGACAAGTCTGAAGTTGTAAGCACAGAGAGCAGTTCGGTGGAACTGTTGTAAGATTGATGGCTGATGGGATTTAAGTGACAGATACAGGAAGTATTGTAGTCTCTGCTTAATGGTTGCTTCCATCTCTCTCTCTTTTGGGGGGGTGTTG